ATTGGGGGGCTAGAGTTCGTTGTGTTTTCCACGTCAGATTGGCCCGCGCGGGACCGGAGAGACTGTGAAAATAGTTCGTTAGCGGGGAGACGAAACATTGTTATTTCAGGCGGACAGAGAGAGAGAGAGAGTGTGTGTGTGTCGGAAAAAACGATATCGAAATCACGACGGACGCGACGCGTACTGTTTTCGCGAACGCATTGATTCACCCCGGTTATAACGCGGCTAACTCGAATTTACGGCACTTTTTCCGCGGCTCTCTACCCTCCCGACACCGCGTTCGCTCTTAGTGAATATGAATGGCGGGGAAGAACATTACACCGGAACGCCACCGCCTGTCACGCTCTTAATCCTCTCGACATTTTCGCGTGCGCCTTGAAATATCAAAGCTTGCGAGTGCCTCGCCTTTCTTCTCGCCCAGCTTCCTCTCCTCTTCCGGTCCCGCCTTGTTTTATCGTCTTCCTGGGGCGAATTCATTTTCGTCTAACGAAGAATACTGCTTGGTAAATTTTTATCGTTTCCTCCTTCGCAGCTGTACAGGATTTACCGGAGACTCTTGGATACCGGGGGCCATTGATTTTTTGCGTACAGTTGAAGATTGCAGCCGTGTTTCTTCTGCCCCCTTTTTTCATTATGCTTGCAGGAATTCATTTTTGACTAACGAAGATTACCGGTTGCTGAACTTTTATTGCTTCCTATTTTTACAGGATTTGCCGAAGAATCTTGGTACGGCGATGGTTCACGTAGATTCGAAGATTGTACCATTTCTCTTCCATACTCGTTTTCGTCGTCTTTGCAGCAATTCATTTTTGGTTAACGAAGATTACTGGTTGCTAAATGTTTAATGCTTCTTGCTTTCTATTTCTGCAGGATTTACTGAAGAGTCTTGGTAATGGAAGGTTTCATTTTTTTTTGGGTAGATTTCAAGATTGTCCCATTTTTCTTCCGCCCTTCTTCCATCGCCTTTGAAGTAATTTTAATTGTTTTCTTCCTTGTATTTCTACAGGATTTACTGAAGAATCTTGGTAATGGAAGGTTTCATTATTTTCCACCCACTTTCTTCCACTCTTTTTTCATTATCTTTACAGGAATTCATTTTTGGCTAATGAAGATTGCTGGCTGCTAAATTTTTATTGCTTCCTCCTTTCTACTTCCTAAGGATTTACCGAAGAAACCTGGTAATGGAGGCTTTCAATTTCGTGCGTAGATTTGAAGATTATATAGGGTGGTCCACGCAGCGTGTGCACCGTTGTAACTTCCAAAATATGCGCTGCACGAAAGAATGTTATACACAAAAGTTACATGGTTTAAAAGGGTACACTATGTAGTGCGTTACAGGGTGGTCCACGCAGCGTGTGCACCGTTGTAACTTCCAAAATATGCGTTGCACGAAAGAATGTTATACACAAAAGTTACATGGTTTAAAAGGGTACACTATGTAGTGCGTTAATTTCTTTTATAGGTGGAGGTGTTTCAGAGATTTGAAGGTCAACTTTGTTTTTTTAAACAGAATATGGTAGAGTATCGAATTGTAAGTAAAAAAGTATTGACCGATATTAGCCCTAAACCTAATAGCTAACGAGTAATTTCACTTTATTACTTGAAAATTTTCTTCACGTAATATCAAGTTGGAGATTCAACCTTATTTCAGAAATCGCCCTTGTTTCAGCGTCTTCGGAATAATTTTCATTGCTGGCTAAATTTTTATTATTTTCTCTTTTGCATCTCTACAGGATTTTCCTGAAAAGTCTCGGAGGCAGTGATTTTTTGCGTAGATGTTCCTTCCACCCTTTTTCCATTATCTTTTGACTGATCAATTTTTATTGCTTCCTCCTTTCTATTTCTACTTTTCTGCAGATTTGATCTGTCCTTGGAGGAACTTTTATTGTTCCCTGACATTTTCAGCTATCAAAGATTACTAGTTACTAATTTCGCATTATTTCCTCCTTTATATTTCTGCAGAATGTCCTAAAAAAGTCATTGCTTCTTCACATCCCTCCTCCTTACTCATAAAATCACTTCTTCTCTTTCCAATTTCTTCATTGCTCCAGCACAATTCTCGGACACTCCCATCTCCGTTACTCTCACTATCCACAATTCCTCACAGTTCCTCTCCGCGCACAGTTCACCAACGCACAAAACAAAGTCGTTACTGCCACAATTACTTCCCGACGGAACGTCTCTACAACCGTTCACAACGGACCCCACCGAGAAAACTTAATCGTCCGCGTGCAAACGTAAGAAAGAAAAGTCACAAAAAGTGTGCCGCCGGAAACCGTGAAAGAAGCCTGTTGTCGGGGATTCCGGGACACAAGCTCGCCAGTCTGGTCTCGTTCGTAGGGAGATAGAAAGTGATTCAGTTTCGATCGCGGCCGAGAAATGGGTGTCGGCGACTTTCGAAATCGTCGAACCGCTCGGTTGGGAACTTCTTGAAAAGTCGCATTACCGTGGCCACCATCCCCGGAAACTCGAAACTAATTTGCCTGCGCCGTATCCTCGCGAGAGCCCGCGATCCGGCTGCCAGCAAACTTCCGCCCCAGGGAAACTAGGCTTGTAATGCCGTTCCAGAAGAGGTAGCAAGGGTGGAGGAGGGAAACGTCGTTGGGGAAAACGAGCACGGGACTCGTGGAAGCGTTTTCGCGGCGGGGAAAAAACCGGCCAAGACTTGGTGTATGTAGTATATCCTATGAAGAGGGAAAAAGGGGCCACCCTATGGTAGTTGGAGGAATGTAATTGCAACGAAACCACCGCGCTGCGTCGTTGGAGGAACGAGAGCCATCTGTCTAGCAGAATCTTCGTAGTTTCTTCTGAAAGGAATATTCAGACGGTTAGGCGTATGTAAGAATGATTTGATTCGACACATTGGCGTTGGATCGCGCACATTTTCATTCAGGTTTTTAACTTCAGTCCGCAAATACGTTACTGAGATTTCTTTCATACACTGTCGGCCAAAAGTTTGCAATTGTCTGGCAATTTATGTTAAATTGAATTTGCTACCAATCTTTTGTAGCTTTGAAATTTATGTTGTGGAGATCAATAACACTTCTTTTTAAATTGATGTTGTGCAGATCAATGGCACTTTTTTTTGAATTCGTTAAAAAGTTCTTGTAATTGCTAACTATTTTGGGGAAATTTTTGTACAACTTGCAACGCACAGTGATTCCAAACATTCGGTCGTTCAGGTTCTTAACTGCAGTCCGCAAATACGTTACTGAGATTTCTTTCATACATTACCGGCCAAAAGTTTGGAATTATCTGGCAATTTATGTTAAATTGAATTTGCTACCAATTTTTTGTAGCTTTGAAATTTATGTTGCGAATTCGGTCGTTCAGGTTTTTAACTTCAGTCCGCAAATACGTTACTGAGATTTCTTTCATACACTGTCGGCCAAAAGTTTGGAATTGTCTGGCAATTTATGATAAATTGAATTTGCTACCAATTTTTTGTAGCTTTGAAATTTATGTTGCGGAAATCAATAGCACTTCTTTTTAAATTGATGTTGTGGAGATCAGTAGCACTTTTTTTTGAATTCGTTAAAAAGTTCTTGTAATTGCTAACTATTTTGGGGAAATTTTTGTACAACTTGCAACGCACAGTGATTCCAAACATTCGGTCGTTCAGGTTCTTAACTGCAGTCCGCAAATACGTTACTGAGATTTCTTTCATACACTGTCGGCCAAAAGTTTGGAATTGTCTGGCAATTTATGATAAATTGAATTTGCTACCAATTTTTTGTAGCTTTGAAATTTATGTTGCGGAAATCAATAGCACTTCTTTTTAAATTGATGTTGTGGAGATCAGTAGCACTTTTTTTTGAATTCGTTAAAAAGTTCTTGTAATTGCTAACTATTTTGGGGGAATTTTTGTACAACTTGCAACGCACAGTGATTCCAAACATTCGGTCGTTCAGGTTCTTAACTGCAGTCCGCAAATACGTTACTGAGATTTCTTTCATACATTACCGGCCAAAAGTTTGTAATCACCTGAAATTTACATGAAAATTGAATCTGCTACTAATTCTTTAGAGATTTGAAATTGACGTTGCGGAGATCAATGGTACTTTTCCTTTTAATTCTTTAAAAATTTCTTACAATTGCTAACTATTTTCTGGGAAATTTTTGTGCAACTTGCAACGCACAGTGATTCCAAACTAGTGTCTGTCTCGAAATAAAACTTCTCATGAGCAATGCCACGACAGACGTTTCACGAATTAAAACAGCTGCACACGTTTTACGAAAAAGTAATTTCCCACTTCCCTCGAAATTTCTGCGAAAACTATTAACCAGTAAAAAAGTTCCGACTGAAGGAAAAGACGCCAATGTGTTGAATATAGAAGAAAGAAGCAATGAAATATCCTGTCCTTAACATCCTATCATCCCGCGAGAATCTGTTTTGCAAAATGGGAAAACAGGTACCCGCGAGCTCTTGAAGAACACAAAGTCCAGAAGCGTCTATCTACGAAACGCTTCCATCGACAAAGATCTTCTACTTCCCACAGATACGTTATTTCCTCGGTTACGCTCCCTTCTCTCTTCGATTTAATCCACTCGCGTCGGTCACCGGGATCAAGAAAAATCCCGAGAAGATGGGACACCGCACGTCTCTACTACGAGGTTTTGGAAGCGCCCATCGAGGTGAACCGGAAACACGACACTATCAATCGATTCCGTCTAAATGCATCCTACACACGCACACACACAGCATACACATACACACATACACGATGTACTCCAATCCCTCCCCGATGGCTAGTTCAATTTCTGTGCCGTAATATGTATATACACACGTGTGCTATATATATATATAATATACAATATGTCCTATATTTGTATGTATATACCAGGTGTATGTGTATATACAAACAAGGACAGAGATAGAGACACAAGTGACAGTAACAGGTATATATAAATATATATCTGGCTGGCACACAGGTTTATGTACACAGGTTCTTACAGCTACCATATGTCGATTTTTGTTGTTGCTCGTTTGTGACACCAACCAGCAACAGAGAGGCCGGTCGAGTATTCGGCCAGGCCAGCGACGTTGCTGATCTGGCACGTGTAGTTCCCGCTGTGCTTAGCGCTGACGTTATTTATCGTCAGGATGCTGGAAAACGGCGGATAGTCGCTTATCTGTATGTTGTTGCCCGTCTCGACGACGGCCGCGATGGATCCGCCTGAGGACGACGACGAGGACGACGCCGACGCGCCGTCACCCGGCCTGACCTGTATCGGTTTCTCGTCCATCAACCACGTGATGTTGAACGGCTGGTCACCCTGGCTCGTGGTACACATTAGCTGTGTCCTCATCCCCTCCGTCACACCGTTCTCGAAATAAAACGGCGAGATCCGCGGTGGAACTATAAACGTGACGTGTCATAATAGTATGTACCTGGATTGGCCGGCGTTAAACCGTTCCACTTCTCTCCTATATACTCGCGCGTGTATCTCCCCATCGGAGAACACGTATACACAACACACACCTCTCGTCTTCGTTACCCGTCATTTATTTCTTTTCTTTTTTTTTTCATCAGACTTTCGTCTCTTTTTTTTTCGAAATGTTCAGGTTGGTTCGAGGAGGATGGAAGGGTGAAAAAAAGGGGCTGTTCAGATTTCGTCGTCGCGAGAATGCTGTTAGTTCAGGGACAGACGAGTAGCGAAGCGAAAATTGAGCAACGAGACACTGCGTGCTCTTTTTTCTTCCTCTTCTTCCGCGAATTTTGACATAGAACGTTTGCAGAAAGAGACAAGAAAGAAGGGAGGAAAGAGCACCACCGAGAGGGATAATTGCATCGAAATCGAGAAACTCCGTGGGATGTTCGAGAGGCGGCGGTCCCGTTGAAACGGGATTAACAGCTGAGCCGTAGGTAGCACGGTGGTGCGGCGCGCGTCGAAAACAACGGAGAGTTAATAAATCTTCTTCCACGAACGTCTGAAATTAACATTAAAATACAACCGGCGGATACAAACTGCTCGGAGTTTAATCCGTTCCCGGCGTACCAGCGAACTGGTGTTTGTAATTAATGTTCCCCTCGGTGGCAACGACAATCCAAAACGATCTGCAAAAAGAATCACACCGCGAGAGAACCTGCTGTAATATCACTCTGTTATATCTCGTAGAACGTTTCGCAATTTCGACCGCGGTCTCGTTTCAATTTTTCCTTCAAAGTCTCTCCTTCTCTCTCGAACACTCTCCGCTGTATTCGTTCGAAGCGGAACACAGAAGAGAGAGAGAGAGAGAGAGAGAGGTCACGAAGCTGTGAAATTCGAAACGGATACCACGCGTGGTTACTCTACTTCCTCGTCTGACCAAACACGGGGCCATACTACTTTGCTCCTTCGAATTTCGAGCAGATCGATCCGGTAGAAACGGAACTTTACAACCACCACTGAACCCTCCCCCGTAGCTTCTTCTACGTGTTTCCTGCTACGTGACCTCTCGACTGTGGACACGGGACAGGTGCAACGGTCCCCCGCGAAAGTCTAAGTCCGTGAAAAATGGTGGCACGGCCATAAATATTCGGCCGTGGCTGCACACACGTACTCCTCGTGGCCACCCCGGAATATGAACATTTATGAGCCTAGGTAACTGCTAATGTCGGCCAATGTGTCTTTACGAGGCTGTTCGCCTCTCGCGAACTTCACAGTAAGCTGTATTCCGCTGGTTCGATGAACATTTTCCGCGCGGACGGGGATCGTTGAACCTCTCTTTATTACAGCCAGGTCAGATGCGGTTTTTCCTCTTTCGTTTCTTTCTTTCACCGATTCGGTACTTTTGCTGAAACAACTGAATGCCGTCAGTTCACGACGATTCTGGCGTATCTTCGCCGAAAATTCAACTCTTACGCGTATGCTTATGCTTCCTTTGGTTCTATCACGCTGTTTGCAGCGTAGACAAATAGACGTGAATACGTTCTTCACTGTGTTTTGGTAATGTCGTTGTTGTTAAAAAAAAGAAAAGGGTCGATGGAAGATATTTAGTTAACCCTGTTTGTAAAAGATTCAGTTCCTATCGCATTCTCATGTCTAAAATTGAGAAGAGATGAAATGAAATTGTGTCATTACTTCTGATGACGATTTCTACTGTTTGGTGATGTGTTGAAAAGAACGGAGAGAGATTGAACGAAAGAGAAACACGACCTATGAGAATAAGTTCAAGGTGTGTACAAGGTAAGTGAGTGGTTTTTATTAAATCCTATAATTAACGCTAATTTTCAAATTATAACCATTACATGCAATCGTTGATTTTTACTAATTTTTACACTCTAACAAAAGAAATTAGAAAGCAAAAATTAGAAATTAATCCAGAAACTTTATGCAAGAAAACAGCTTCCGATTCCTTCGTACTCATTGTCAGTGAAATTAATGTAGTGTCGGGGCCTCCATACCCAAAAAATAGGAAACTGGCACGGGAGAATACGGAGGGAGTGGTTGGTGTAGCGCGCAAATGCTAAGCCGAAGGTCTCGGGTTTGATTCCCGTTTGGGTCCCTCAATATTTTTCCGTCGTCGGTTCCTACATTAGTAATCCCTATAATTGAAACTCTTTAATCAACAACCTACGATACGAACTTTACAAAAACCGCGACATAATTCTACGTGAGGAAAAATTACCTTTAGCAAACATATCGGAGCACGATTTTGACAGGGAAACGAGGACAAAATCCAACGAAATAGCAACTCCAGCAGAACACGCTCAAAGATATACATAATTTTAAACAAATGGAATTGAAAATGGAAAACAAGTATCCGGACAAAACTGCACGAGATAAGAGACGAGATATCTACTCAAATAATCTCTGCCAAGAAGAGAACAAATTATTCTTACAAGATTAAGAATAGCCCACGCTAATCTATTATATCCAAATCTGAGAACTCAGTGCTATCCGTTAAACACATTTTACAAGAATGTCTCGCCAGAAGAAATACTAGAACAAGAGAAAAACTGCCTGCAGATATAAACAAATGCCTAAATGATAAGAAATATATGAAAGGAACAATTACCGTTTTTCAAGGAAATTCAAATCCTCGAGGACATATTAGGTGTAGAAATAAGTTCTCTCCGACGAATTTCAGTCGATTGCATATGGCGGGACACGAAGAGAATCCTGTATTACGAATTCCTTGATCCAGGAGAAGCAGTGACTGCAATCAACAGCAACTGTTGAATTCGACCGACGCCATCGAAAGAAAAGGGCCGTTATCTGGACAACGCAAACGCAAGTTGACTTGATTTTCTCACTGGATTGGAAAAACTTTTATCACATGCGGATTACT